AGGGAATGCCATCCAGCCACCCCTGGAAGGCTCTGCTCAGAGCTCAGAAATGTGAAGCAGATGTCTACTCCTGGCATTTTTCCTGGACTTGAATGAGGCTGTTCATATTCAACACAGCTGCTCCAAAGGGTGATAGTTTCACATGGARTKTGTCCCACTACAAAGCATTCCAGGGGCTAAATTTAGGGGTAGCTTTTTGGAAAAACAAACATCTGAAAAGAAATGTTTCTAACAAATTAGTGTTTTCTTCTCCCGCTCTGACTCCACACAGCAGGAAACAGCTAAAAAAGCACAATGGAAGATTTCCACCAGAACTGATGTTACAGATTACAGAGAGCCTGGACAAGAGGGCCTGGGGCCTTCAGCAAAGTCACTGTGGTTGYTCCTATCTAAATACAGCATCCACATCACTTAAACAAACATGCCAKATCTAAAGTAATCAAATTCTCCATCCCTAAAAAGCAGAAGTCAGGTCTCTGCTTTGAAAACCCACAGTAGATTCCCCTTACTGAAGAGTCATCCCCCAACTATTTCTGATAAATTTAAACCATCACACAAARTCTGTTGCTTTTCTGAGAAGGTAAATGATACAAAGTGTATCCCCAGGGTTGCTGYGTGGTGTGCAGTGTGCTTCACGAAGCAAGTGCCAACATCCCAATCAATTATTTAACACTAATATTATGTAGTGGTGAAAGCCAAGCAGAGAACTTCAGCAAAGCACCATTTACTGATTCCTTCACTGTTGGGYGCACATTGAAGCAATCTGTTGGCAGCTTAGTCATCCTTCTGTTTTCCCCCTGGCACATACTTGCATTACTTCCTTCCCCAAAATCGGGGGGGCAAAATTAATTTTCTTTTTTACAAGCCACCCAAAAAGAGAAAATAAAATCAAACCAAGCGTGGTGCCCAGGAGCTGCCTGCCTGCCTTTCCATGCCAAAGTTTCATCTGTGGTGCAAATGTTGGCAATGTCAGAACTAATCAGTTCAGTGATTCAACAAGAGAGGCAGAGAAAAGCTGGGTCATTCTGTTCCTTGTCCAATATTAATATTACATAAATATTGTCTTACAGTTTCATTCATACATCCCAGCAGGGCTGCCCATTCAAAGGATGCCAAACCAAATGAGCAGGCTGAGGCTGCTGCAGAGTTTCTGTAGAAGYCCTATGCAAACATTTCTGACATGGGAAGGTCTGGGTTTGTTTCTGTCCTATTTTGCTGTGTGACTTTAGATGTCACACTTGGAGCAATGGACTGGGCTCTCAGGCCGTGCTTTACACRATGTTCATAAGCTTCACCCTTTTCAAACAGCATCTGAGACCCTCCCAGAGAAAATGCYACTGGAACACAAGGCACCACCATCAAACTGGGAGCAAACCTATTTTTCAGAAAGTGCATTTCTTGTTTTCCAGATAACTGATGGCAATGAAGGCGACATTGTATGTGTACATGCACCAAAATACCCGACAGGATTTCTCAACAGGTTGTTTTTCCATGTGGTCTGGGACTAGAGACATCTTTTACAAAAGTTCAGATTAATTCTTAATGAATATCTGCCAAAGACAATGATTTAGTGAATGTCACAACTCCCAAACCAGAAGCATAGGCTGGGTTTCAGTAATAAATCTCAAAACATTTAAAGCAAAACATGTCCTTTAGCTTTCAAACACTGCCAGGACAGTCTTTCATACTGACAATTGTCAATGACTCCTGTATTGCACGTGTATAAATACAACCTCTCTTAAAGATACTGTATTTCCTATCACACTGAAGTAGTAATTAAAAATTAATCATATTTGATACAGGTCTAAAGAGCCCTCCATGTTTGGCTAATCCAAGGTAAAATCATTAACACCAGACACATGATTTGGAGGTGTGGACACAACACTAAATGTCCTACAACTTCGCACACACCAGCTTGTACAATTTGTCATGTCTGAAGCTAAAACTGTATTAGCAGTCTGAAACTGTCACAGGAATGTAATGATTTTAACTAAAAATTATCTTGGTGAGTTGTGAGGTCCAGCATGCAGAGTCCACTTCTAAAATGCAGTTCATAACTCATTTTGAGTAGTGAAAAACCAGTTATAAACAGGTTGAAAAAATATTTTTAAAGAAAAAGTGTACATATGCAATGACTCAAATACAATTTAAAAACTAATTTTCATTATATTTTTGTCTGTAAGTTAATTCCCCACAGTGCTTTTGAAAGAGCAAAGAAACATTTCCTCACAAGAATCCAAGTGATTTTATTTTTCTCACATATCTATGTATAATGTAACATCACCACTTATATACAAAATTAGTTGAACAGRTCAGAATACCAATGATTGCCTCATCAGACAATTACGACCGGACAGACAAACACTGATTCACCACTTCCAGCAGGTGAGTGTTTTCCAAAGCAGCTGCCACACGTTCTTTATCAGCAAGCTGTTTATTAACTGTGCAGAGAAAAYCCACAAGAAACCAATCAGGACATTGGGACTCGGTGTCTTCTTTAAAGCATTTTACTCTGAGATACATCATTCCAGTTGCCATGGTAGTGCAGGCAGTTCTCAGGATGCCAAGTGCACCCCAGAGCTGCTGTCTAAAGGCAGAGCCTCTTTGTCATCCCAGTTATCCAGCAAGCTGGTCATGATTCAGCAGCAGGAAGCTGCTCTGGAGGTGGAACACAAGAAATCCCCATTTYCCYCCCATTTTCCCAGTGCTCAGGCYAATCAATCAGTGACTGAGAGCACATATTGCCTAAAGATATGTTTGAAGAACACTAYGGAACAATCTAAGTGACACTCCATGTTCCTGTTCTGGAACACCCCCCAGAATCTGACACACAGAAACTCCCAGACACTGAGCAGCTGCTCCGCAGCTGGGGGAATCTCTCTCCCTGCTTATTTGCAAGATTAAAACAAATATATAGACCRCACAAGAGAGGACTGAAAGCCTTACCTGCGTGCTCAGAGGCATGTGTTCCTGGCGTTATATGAACATCCAGCTGAAATAGCATCACAAAAGGATCAGGGGACTACTCAACAAAACATTGTAAATTTAAGTCCAAACTAATAAAATAAGACTAACAAAAAGARGGGGGGAAAGGACATTCTTGCCAATTTCAGTTACTCTATATAACAGAATCAAAGTCTACAACTGCAGAGTATTCTGCAGTTGCATCTGCTCAAGCCTGTTTCAGACAAGGGTGAGACCTCTCCTCCTGCCGTGCCACGGAGCACTAAGTGATTTACCTCAGAACCCCTCTGGCCCATGACAACAGCCCTAGAACCACACTTGTGCACTGATACTTCAGCCCACTGCCCTCTCTGCTTCCTGCAGTCTCACTCACACAACAAATGAACAAAGGTCTAGTTACTTTAGTCTAGTTACTGTAAGTTAGGTTTTTTTTTTTGGTTTTTTTTTTAATTTTTCCAGATGCAGTTTGCCTCTTTCACTTTCCCGAGTGTCTTGACTCCTCACCTTGAATCTCTCTGGCAGAGAGCGGAGTAGTTTGACCTTTATGGAGAGGCCGATGAGGGTGGCCATGCTGCAATGGGGAATGGTGGGGGTGAACTCCACCGACACCGTGCTCTCGGCATCGTTCACCTGCGGGAAAGCACACACAAACCCTCGGCTTCCACCCCAAACTATCCCCAGGCCTTGCAGGGGAAACTCGACCTGCTCCTAGATTTGTTCATGGACATTTTTCAGCACTGTGTTTAGGTRCTAGGATAAATATATTTAAATATGATAAAAAAGCAATTGGTTAATCAGACGGCTGAGGTAGCACATCTCGGCGAGATCTCACTTTCACTCGCACTTGCTCGACGACGTTCAGCTCCTCCAGGGTGAGGGGGTGCTCGGGGTCATTGATGGAGCGGATGAGATGTGCGGGTTAAAGAAAGCAGCGCTGCTCGGCCCGGCCCGCCCGCGCCGCCTCAGCCCGCCCCAGCCCTCTGCCCCCGCAGGATATCGAAGATCTCTCGGTCGTCGATGGCGTCGGGCAGCTCGTCATCCTCCTCCCGCGCCGTCACGGGGCGCTCCCCGGAGCGGCGGTAGATGAGGGGGTTCGCATTCTCCAGCGGCGCCGCGCCCGGGCCCACCATGGCAGCACCGGCACCGGAACGGGAGCGGCACCGGAACCAGCCCGGACCGCGATCGACGCCGCACCGCGCGTGGCCCGGGGAGGGCGCGGCCTCTCGAGGGCGGGGAGCGGGGCGGTGCTGAGGGCGGGGAGCGGGGCGGTGCTGAGGGCGGGGAGCGGGCTGGGCCAATTTCCTCCAGTGCCTCCCGAGTGTGGGAGCTCGTCCGATGCTGAGGGCGCTTCCCGAAGGCAGGAGGGGGGCTTTTCCCCCGAGCCCCGGCTCAGCAGCAGAACAGGTCTGGAAGCGAATTGAATCGGCGGCGCAGTGTCCGCCAGGAGCTTCCGAGCCGGGCCCGGTGTTGCCAAGGATGTTCCAATTAAAGTTGTTCATCTCATGTTTCGTGTTTTGAAAAGTCAAACAAAAAAAAACCCACGCAAACTTAATCTGGAGCGATAGAGCGTAAGGATGACACACTTTGTCTTAATACACCCCTTTAAAAGAGAATTAAAGCAAGAATTAACTATTTCGATTTTTTTATTCTTCTATTGTTAGGTTTTAATTACTGGTAATCTCCGTTCCCGGTTGTTTGGGGTCGTTGTGTGTTTTGGGGTTTTTTGGTTGCTTTGTGTATTTGKTGGTGTTAGGAAAATTAATCTACAAGCACTAGAGGTTTATGTCTAAAAAGGAGACAGAGGAGTTTTGCAACTTYATTCATKAATAAAGGGAGASGTCATGGGCATTTCTTATGGGGTCTTTTAAATTCATAGAGGACGCAGCCTCTTTTTATTCTAATTTTTCGGCCGCTGTTTCTTCTCTCGTTCTTTATTGGCTGAGGTACTTGAAAGTTATAGGCTCTTTGAAATGCCTGATGAAACCCCCCCTTCTATTATAAATTGTCCCCCCCCCCCTTCAGTTTACATTTCTGTGGTTTTGCTTTGGTAGTTTATTTACATAGTCATACATAAGTCAATTAGTGGAATTCTTATGGAAATCTTTCTCATTATTTTTTTTTTATTTTTATTTTTTATATCAGCTTTATTTCACCCCAGAGCCCAGAGTCAGAGTTTGTTTGTAAAGACATTCTTTTCTCCTTTCAGTGGTGATGGTGGTGGTGTTTTGGTGAGGTTTTTGTTGTTTTAAGGTTTTTTTTAAGAACGTTGTAGAAGTTAAGCTCCGGAGCCTGTTCAGACTGGCTCTGTTTTCTCTGCCGGTGTAGCCCGATTGGCGCTCCCGCTGCTGCTGCCGGGCTGTGCTGGGCCATGGCCAGCTCCAGGTAACGCCGGGGTTGTGCTCAGGGCGCTCCCGCTGCTGCTGCCGGGCTGTGCTGGGCCATGGCCAGCTCCAGGTACCGCCGGGGTTGTGCTCAGGGCGCTCCCGCTGCTGCTGCCGGGCTGTGTTGGGYCGTGGCCAGCTCCAGGTAACGCCGGGGTTGTGCTCAGGGCGSTCCCGCTGCTGCTGCCGGGCTGTGYTGGGYCRTGGCCAGCTCCAGGTAACGCCGGGGTTGTGCTCAGGGCGSTCCCGCTGCTGCTGCCGGGCTGTGYTGGGYCRTGGCCAGCTCCAGGTAACGCCGGGGTTGTGCTCAGGGCGGTCCCGCTGCTGCTGCCGGGCTGTGTTGGGTCGTGGCCAGCTCCAGGTACCGCCGGGGKTGCGCTCAGGGCTCGCCTTGGCGCTCKGCAGCCGCTCCCTGCAGCTCCCGTTCACAGTCCAACCGCGCTGCCTGCGCCGAGTGCCCTCGCTGGGACCTTTGTCCCCTTCCGCATAAAACCGCAGAGAGTCACCGGGCGCCCAGTCGGAGATGAAAAATGGCTCCTCCGAGYACGATCGCCTTGCTCTGCGCCTTGTTTTGTAATGTAGCGTTCCTCGTGTACGGAGCGGAAGGTGAGACCCACGATCTGTTGTTGTTGATGCTGCTGGGGAAGTCGCTGCACAAACAAGTTGCAGGGACTTTTTCAAAGAAAATCTCTTATGCTTTGGTTAGCAATCTGCAAAAATGCCTTCATGATGCAAAAATTACTGGTTTTGTGAGATCAAACGATTTCTGAGATGATTTAATGAAAATAAAGTTGGTGTCTTCTTTAAGAAGAAGAAAGCAAAAACATTTTTGAATTATCTAAACAAAGAAATTTTAAGGTCTTGTTGAACGATAAATCTTGGAAATGTTAATGGTTTTACTGTTTGCTCTGAAATTTGTTCTTGCAGTGTCCTACCTGACTCCAGGTGTCACTGGCAGCAGGGTTTGGCAGAGAGTGTCTGTCACTGCACCAAAGCGAAATGAAAACAGAACAAAATCGAAAGGAATTATGTTCTAAATTAAAGAGTCAGTTAAAAATACTTCATTGAAAAGTCTGCCTGATAATTATGAAGATGCAATTAATTTTTTTTTTTTTTTTACCATTTGTGTTAGGGCACAGTGGTGCTGAGATAGAAGTGACCACTCCTCTTGGACGGCTCAAAGGAACACAGACAAATGTGAAGGGGACAAACAAGCTTGTAAATGTTTTCCTTGGAATTCCTTTTGCAAAAGCTCCTCTTGGATCCCTGAGGTTTTCCGCACCTGAACCACCTGAACCCTGGACTGGTGTGAGAGATGCAACTTCTTATCCACCACTGTGAGAGCTGTTCCATTTGTTTGTAGATAGAACCTGCCCGTGTTGGTCAGGGTTGTATTTATGGGGGTACAGAGGCCTGATTTTTCTTGAGGAGTTTGTATTTGGTAGTGGATACACTGCCAGTAGTGGAATACTTCAAGCACAAGTATAGAGACGTGCTTTTACAGGCTGCACCTCTCTCTGATTATAAATAACAAAATTCAAGCACCCTCTGGGGATTCAGCCTCTGGGGCAAAAAAAAAAAAAAAGTGTGTTTTCTCTATCACTGTTACATTGATGCTATTGCAGTTTTAGTGCTAATAATTGTACTTCCCTTTTTTTTTGTGAAGATGTCCTCAAGATCTGTCCATGTTGAAAATAGCTGAAAAAAACTTTAAAGAAAAGCACCTTGCATTCCAGACTTCAGAGGACTGTCTGTATCTCAGTGTCTACAGCCCTGCTGGCTCAAGCAAGAAGGACAAGTTACCTGTACGTAAACCACTGAACAAACTTGTGTTTTATAAAGCTTGCMGGTAATGATTGCTCCTAGGAGACTTAATTGCTTTTGAAAATGTGATGCTGCACTGGCAGAGTGTAAAATTCCAAGTCCACCAACCTAGAATCAGCTGCCATTGTGCTTCAGTGATTTGGTGTTCATAAACTCTGATGTTATTTTCCTTTTTTAAATTAAATTTGCAAACCAAAGCATAAAAATGTGTCTCACGCTTTTGTTCCTAAGGTAATGGTGTGGATCCATGGAGGCAATTTTATATTTGGTGGTGCTGCTAGGTATGATGGCTCTGCACTGTCAGCCTACGAGAATGTTGTGGTGGTAATAATTCAGTACAGACTGGGACTCCTTGGATTCTTCAAGTAAGATCACCTATTTCACTTCTTACAAAGTACTTGCTGTCATGTTTAAAGCACAGGTAGTTTTGTTTGCTAAATCCTCTGAACTGCTATACCAGCTTCCCACTGTCAGAGTAGTTTAAATGTACAGAATTCACTGACATCAGAACTTCAGGACACTAAGAAATGTCTGTACATTCCCTCTGCATGGTCATTTGTAGCCTGCTATCGATTCACAGTTGGGCTTATTTGGTGCTGGATGGGATGTTTGTTCTAGCCTTTGCTTCCATCCTCTGGTGTGTAAAGCAAAAACTTRCACAGAGTAAAAGCCAGGGATTCACCTGTGCAGGGGTGAGTAGAGAGTAGAGGTGAGTCAGGGGCTGAGGTGTGACCATGAGGAGCTATGGGTCAGGGCCAAATATGACGTTTTGCACAAAATATAAGTTGTTGAGATTGCCTTTATTGTGGTATAGTTACTGTCACTGAGAAGTGGCTTGTGCCACTCTCTTTCCAGCACTGGTGATGAACACGCCCCGGGGAACTGGGCCTTTTTGGATCAAGTCGCAGCTCTCCGGTGGGTCCAAGGAAATATTGAGCACTTTGGTGGAGATCCAGGATCTGTCACTCTCTTTGGTATATCTGCAGGATCTTGCTGTGTTTTTGCACATGTAGGTATATAGGAGAGAAAAGTCATCCAAAATGCAATTACTGCAACTTTTCATGCTTAATCTGGTTTTTGACAGTAAGTTTAACAGCACATTGTGCTATATCTGGAGACTTACCCTGTAAGCCAATAAAGATGTGTAATTCCTCCCTGAATCCAGGAGTTTTGTCAAGCATAGAGTTGTGGAATAAGGGTGTTAATGTRGAATAAATCCTTTCTGTTCTTCCCTTCTTGGCAGGTGTTATCTCCTTTGTCTAAGGGTCTCTTTCATAAAGCCATAGCAGAGAGTGGAATTCTAATTCCCCCTGGTAAAGATTTACATCTTTCAACAGATCTTGAGGTAGGCTCATTGTTTTGCATTTTAAAGTCTTTATAATCTAAAATAAGACACTAATATGAAATTATTTGGTTAAAATAGAAAAGGGGRAAATCTCATTGCACACTGCAACAAAGTCGATCCAATTTATTCTTGCAGCACACCTATTTAATTTCAGTTTGTTTCGTGTTAGAAATGTGTACAACTATATGATTATAACAGCTTTGAGCTGACAGCTATTTTCAGTCAAACACATGCCAATGTCAATTTTCAAACCCACTGTACCCTACACAGTAATTGTGACATTTATTATGGAAAGTTTAACAAGAATCCAGAAGAAGCATTCTGGTTTTTATTAACTCATGGTCTTTTAGGGAGGGCCTTCATGTGAGGTAAATTAATTAAATATAAAACAAGCAAAAAAAAAAAAATCTTATATGTGCCTTTTAATTTATTTTCTTGTAAAGGTAAGTAGTAATAATATAAATCTTTCTGAATTTGCTTTCCTTATTTGGTTTATGCTACAACCTTGCATTATCTCTACARCAAAGTTTATTGTAGACAGTGAATGGAAATACAGCAAAATAGAGAAGTATACCAGAATGATTTCACTTTGTGATCAAACTGTAGCATTTCTAGTAAAATAAAATACTCACGTATCTATCAAGCTCTAAATCTGCCATTAAATCAAGCTGGTAACAGTACTGTGCATGATAATTTTCTAACAGTGCTTGTCKGTTGATAATTTTCAGAAAATTGCCAATATCTTTAAGTGTGATGCGAGCAGTTCCCTCTCCCTGCTGAACTGCTTGAGGAAGCAGGAAGCAGAGCATATCATCTTTAACAGCAAGGTAGGTGAGACTTGATGGCAACAGAATTTTTTTAAGGGCTCACTTGCAAAACTTTAGCTCAGCCTCTGATCAGAGGTCATAGATGGTCTGTTCCAAAGTTGATTTTTCTTATCTTTTGTCAAAATACTCCCTAAATGTTGAAATAATTTCACACATTCTCTGTGGAAGTTTCAGAAAAGTGTGACAGCACCTGTAAAGTTGTGAGCAAGGTTTGAGCAGCCCAAAAACATAGTTTTAATGTCAGAAGCAGTACAGGATCAGGAACCCATTACATTTCTCTTGACCCAGCCAGACTTGCATTTTATACTCCTATGCCAAACTAAATTTATGTTACAGTGGCTGTAGATATTCAAATTTCTTAAAGCTCTTTTTGCACTTAGAACATTAAATGTGGACGTTTTATATTGTTTGAAGAAAAATTGGAAATACTATTAACAAGTAATTTGATTTTTTTTCTCTTTCTTCAGGAAATMTCATTTCTGCCCATAGTTTTGGATGGAGTATTTCTTCATAAGGCACCTGAAGATATATTGGCTGGAAAAGAATTCAATGCAGTCCCATTCATGATTGGAGTCACCAAYAATGAATTTGGCTGGAATATCAGATCTGTAATTTAATGTCTCTTCTTTATTTTTACTGTGTTTTCAATGTTTGTGTTAAGTGATAGGACAAGTATTTGCATTGTTGGAAATGCATACAAGGTRAACTTTGCTTGCATTATGGCTCTGCAGTGGCCCAGGACAGGTTGGTCACAGGAGGGTGAGAGAGGCTTTGTCCTGTAAGTTAAACTACATGGGCCCATCAGTTGGAACACCAATTTTGTACAGTGTTTTCTTATTCTAAAATTTTAATCCCTCATCCAGGCAGAGAGAGAAAAAAGAATGCAATCATCAAGGGCTTATTACTGGAAGAAAAAAAAAATCAAATCCTTTCCCCCACAAGGAAGAGTAGGCAGGGTTGATACATAGTGTGTTTAAAGATGTGCCATTGGTTACCTAAACCAGCTTCCGCTAGTGTCATTRTCATCCTGAAGAAAGAGCTGTCATTTGAAAATCTCATCTGGGGCAGTGTGGGGATAATGCAGATGTCCAGCCCATTCTCTGTGCAGAAATCCTTCCTCATAGGAACTCAATGGGTAACTCAAAAAAGGAGCAATCACTATCAGTGCACAAAACTGCAGAGATGGATTCGTATCCTCTCTCTTTCTTCAGCCTTTTTTTTCATAGTTTCTAAGTATTCAGGTTCCTTTCTGTTATACAAAGCATTTGTTCGGAATCTGTGTAGCAGCTGTCTCTGGGAGTGTGCTGGTTCTAACTCCCAGAAGAACAATGTAAGGTGAAATCTGCTTGAATTATTTTTCAGACACAAGASCTGTTTTATGTAATGCAGTAAAAGAGGAGGAACACTGCCTTATCTTTATTTCAAAGGGCTCTGACAACTGGACTAGAGACAGACTGGAARTGACTTGTAAGATCTCCCCCAACAGAAGGACAATAAGCCTGGGAGACAGAAGTGGCTTTTTGCTCCAAATCTGCCCTAATGTTTTCTAGTCTTGCAAGCTTCTTAATGTTGATTTAAGGATAACTATGTAGTATGAGTGGTTTRTGTAGAAACCTTCACAAAGGCAACATTTGCTGCAGTAAATACAAGCTTTTCAAGACAGCTGCTGCACTTTGCTGCACTGTTGCATGTGATATGATGCTTCAAAAATAAATACCAGTAATAAGAATAAATGGAGATATGCAGTTCCAATGTTGAAAATAATAGACATTGAATGGTRCTAATAACATTTTTTTCTCTGTACAGACATCAAAAATGACAGGTTTGAGGGAAATAGGAGACAGAAAATCAATTGCCTCAACKGTAGAGGTTTTTCTACCAATGATAGTAAGTACTGTTGCACTATTCTAATTTGAGAAGTGAATTTTCTTTATCATGTATGTAACAGATTTGAGTCTCACTGTTTGAGTCATAATGTTACTGCGGGCTGAGGTCATGTTATGTTTTGGGGAGAGTCCCAGCAAAGTTGACAGGACYAGGGTGTATGGAGTTACGTCGAAATTGAATTGACTCAAGCTTGGGATTTGGGAAAATGCCTTTTTCATTCTAGACCTCAACCAACACTTTATTTTACGTATTTTTAGGATTGCTGTAATTGTATCCTGAGTGTTAAGGATTCTCATGGCTAATCTCCTGCTTGGGGAGGGTTCAAGGCAGATTTTTCAAAATGTTTACATTAAATTAATGTAGCTTTTAAAGTAGTTGCTCTGCACTGCTAGTTTTGAAATGTGTCTTTCAAGCAGCAAATTTGAACCCTGAAAACCTACACTGTGTTTGGAGATCCCATTGGCCTTATCCTCTTGTCTAATAATACATAAATCTTTCAAGGACTGAGAATTTACTTTCGTGATTCCCATCTCTTTTCTCCTGAAGAAAACAGAAGCCAAAGGTAATGTCAGGAGAAAATGCTGAGTCTTCATTGATACCTATAGAGTTGTAATTCATATAAATCTGGTGCAAATTAGCCTGAGGTGATAGGTTTGTTTTGGTTTTTKATGTTGGTGTAGGGGATTTTTCCCCCACAAAAAGTGTGAATAGCTTTTGTTTCCCATCAGCATGGGTGCTGTCCTAGATCTTTGTGCTTTTACAGAGCCTCTGAAGTTCCAAAGATGGCATTTTTAGCTGCTAATGCAGATGGTGACCATTTGTCTGTTTGTTTCTTGTTCTGCCATTGTCTCTTAGGATGTACCCTCAGATTTTCTGCCCATGATCATAGATGAATATCTGGGAGACACAGAGGATCCTGCAGAGCTACGGGACCGATTCCTGGACCTGCTRGGGGACATAGCAATTGTCATGCCAGCCATTAAAGCACTGAATTATCACAGGGGTAAGCTGCTCAACAGCAGTGGGACATTTAAACCTCATGCTGCAGACTGCCTCAAATGATGTAGACATGAATCCTGTCATATACAGGCAGCCCTGGTTGAGATTCCCACTGGAAATTTGAGGGTGAGGAATGATACAGGTCTGCAGGGTTGTGTGTAGTCACTTATCTTTCTATAAGTGTCTTGCACTGTGCTCATAGTCACAATATATTGAGAGCAGAGCATGATAACACAGGTAAATGTTTGCTAACTGRGGCATAGAGGCTTAAAAATTAAAGCCTATCAAAGCACCCTTTGTCCTCTGGCCCATGGCTATGTGGCCTGTCAACAGCTCTGTGGTCTGGAGATTTTCTGGTGTTTAAATGTAGAGAAGCCATGCCAACACACCCAGAATTGGAAACAGTCTGATGCTGTTTTGCTTTCTGTAAGTTTCCCTAGGGTGGATTTTTATCTTTTCTTTTTTGTGTAAGTGCTGAACTCTTCATTTTGAATTAAGAGTGCATATTTGAATGTAACAATTACATTTGAAATGTGCCCAGCATAAAGCTTTGTTTAAAGTAATACTTCAAACAGCTGATGGCAGCTGTAGTTTATGTATCTCTTCTGTAACTCTAAATGTTGTGTTTTCAGAGTCTGGAGCTCCTACCTACTTCTTCGAGTTCCAGCACCGGCCCAGTTCATACTGGGACAGCAAACCAGACTATGTGAAGGCTGACCACGGGGATGAAGTTGGCTTTGTCTTTGG